GGGACCATGAAATGAAAATGGGGGTCCACAATAGTGGATCTCAACACATACACTGATAGTACCTATTTACTTACATCATACTATCTTATAATATCAAAACATATACATTACAAACAAAAAGATACAAAATTTTATTTTGAGAAGTTTTAATTTAAATTCAATTAATAAATGTATAAATTAACATGTGTTTTTACTTTAAGTTTTTAACACTAAACTTCACTACAGTTAGAAATTTACAGGAAATCAATATCAGGTAAGCAGTCTACCCAACACGGAAAAACATGGCAAGGGGTCTACGACACTAAAAAGTTTGGGAAACTCTGTTATAGATGATTAAAAAGTGATTTCCATTTCCCATTTTATGGGCTTTTATGCTGACAGTATTAATTGATCCAGATCCCGTTGCTTTAATATATAACAATTTTAACGTTCTCTTTATATTAGTTATAAATATAAAATCATTATTGCTTTGATATTGCAAGCTACTCGATTGAGAGGAAGTTGCATGGACCTAGTTAGCGCTGAGCCTTATTAAGTTCTCATATCATTTTTCTAGCATATTTTCATAAGACGTATTTGATTGCCCTCGTTTTATAATGATGTGATGTTTGAGAGCATAAATAAAATAAAATATAACTTTAGCAACCGAGCTTTAAAGGGGAAATAGATCAATAATGTCTAATTCGAACATCAAGCCAAAATTACCGCCTTTTTTAAATAAATTTTATTTTTCAGATTTTGTTCTTTCTTCTCATATCCTGCGTTAGCCTATCCGCTGGTATGCCGAGTCGTCATGTTCACATACATCGTCCAGTGGTTGTCGTAAGAAATCCACCACGGGTTTTCGTATATCCACGCGGAGGATAAAAATTAAAGCACTTTCTACCAATTAAATATAATTATGAGTTTAAATTTTTCACTTAATGCTTTTTAAATTAGGAACCAATTTTAATTTTTAAAGTTAGTCGATGGTTCAAAACTTTTTATCATATCAGAAAATATGTATGGAAGATACATAAAAACATTTCTAATTACATGGCGTAAGGTTTAGGATAGAACCGTTTGATCGTAGCCAACTCTTTACCCAAAAAGCACATCGTAATCAAGGTAATGTACACGGTCATATCTTTATTCGCCATCTTACAACATTTAGTGCCTCTAAATCAAAAACATAAAATGTCACCAAGATTAAATCCAAGACTTCGAAGTAAGTAAAGTAAGAAATATGAATGCACAGTGAAGTTATTCTAAGAATAAATTAAAATAAATAAACACTTTTCTGAACTAAACTGTTTTAAATACCGTTATATCTACAAAGCAAAAATTTACCCTTAATTCCCTGGATTATTTCGTATTTAGACAGCTAAAATAAATATCATTCACGCCTTCTATTTCGATGAAATCTATTCCGGCTCATTCTATTTTTAGCTCAAATAATACAAATAAAAACGTAAGAACCAGTTTATTAGCGGACATAGTAACTATAAGGGTAGTAGTTGTAATCATAGGTGGTTGCGTAGCTTGGGTATGAATAGTATGATGAGGAGTAGTCTACCGCAACAGGGGAACTGTACACGAGAGGATCTGAATATTCATACTCCACGATCAAAGGCTTTGCGGCTGTCAAAGCCAGCAATGCGGCGAAGAAAATCTGTAAGCAATTTAAATGTTACAATTAAGTATTGTCGGTCGGCGTGAACTGAGGTTCGCTCCTTATACAGGACACAATGGTAAAGTAGTCGTTGTAGTAATAATACGAAAATTTTGTGTTTTGTATGGATTGAATAGGTTAAAGTTTTATTTCAAATTCCATAATAGCATTACAATATTAAGTACTAAAATTGAGCAAAAATATGTTTATACCGTTATAAACGAATTCGCTTTTGAATATTTTGCTGAATAGCTAGTGCTCCTAAATAGTAAACATATTATTAAATTTTAAGTTCGGTTTGCATTACAATAAGGGCCTTTTCTTACAAATACTTTTTGTACATTGAATATAAAATATAAGTATTAAATTAATTGTTATCTGCTTAAAATACAAGGTTAAATAATTTACGCCCGTGTTAAATAATCATTGAGATTTTGATGATAATATATAATTATTCATTGTTTATGATAAACAAAAAATATCTAAAAACGTAATTAAATATAGTATAATATAATTCGTACACTTAGTAGAGTTGGTTTACTGAACGCGATAGTTAAGGAATTTGGGCATAATGAAAAAAATTATAATGATTAATACGTGATTTAAAAGGCAACGAAACAACTTATTTTGTTGCTTGGTTTATTGGACTCACTCTATTGACCAATCACATTTAAGCGTTCTTACGTTTTGTTTTTAAAGTACATTCTAAAGCTCTTTTCTTAATACCCGTTGTCGCTACGAAAACAAGGAATCGAAAAATTATTGAAAATATATTACCACGAATTTCAACATATCGAACTAATGTTAACCAAACTGTTCTTGATGTATGTGATCGATAAAAACATTTTCTATTTATATAGTTGAATTAAACTTACCCGGATAACTGGATGAATATCCTGTATGTGAAAATTAGAATTATTGTCACGTACAGCATTGGTCAGTTAAATTATAAGGTCATGGCTGATGCGACCATTGTTTGTACTCTGGCGTATGTTTTAAACGACTTATTATCGCGATTCACGACTAGAGTTAATAGTCGAAACCTGTGTATTCAAAAATTATACGCCTTTTTTAGAAATTAAACTAAATAAATGTATTCGTGTGTTCGAGCCTTGGCATGCACTGAATTTTATATGTCGCAATTAATACGATAACTATAAAACACTATTTTGACCGGATTGAAGTTATGTATTATTATAAATTTACAACTATTTAACATAATTTTAAATTTATCGTGCGTGGTCACCGTGACCACGCACGCTGTAAAGCACGCGAAACGTCGGATAAATTTCTCCGGTCCGGTCTAATCCGGTCAAAATAGTGTTTTATTAAATGAATAAAAGTTATGTTAATCAAAGACAATACTATAATACGATAACTATAAAAAAATTGCCTTTATTTTGAGTACTATACTACACTATAACTACATAGTCCATGTCATTTATGTTTTACACTAGTACTCGACCTCTGACGGAGTGACGGCCTCCTACCAATTTTTCCCCGCTATCCCTTTTATTTCATCTTCCCAAGTTTTTGGTGGGCATCCTCTCTTTTTTTTCCCACTGGGCCATTCCAAGTAAGGGTCTTTTTGACCCATCTGCCATCACAAATGTGGCAATGTGACCGACCGATTTCCACATTTTTTTGTATATGTTACAACGTCTTTTATTTTTGTACGGCTTCGTGTCACATCATTTTTTACTTTGTCTTTAGTTTCAATCGAAGAATCGACAATATTAATATTACATTATAAATAATAACCCTAAGTAACTCAAGGCTGATTATCTTTTAACCCAGATACAGGAACCTGAGTTCGGTAACCCAGTAGTACATACATACGTTATATAAAAACAAAAATTAAGTCTACTAATACGGTAAGTTGGAATTTAAATGCAAAAGGAAGTCATTAATACAAAAACGTTATTATATAACAGTGTATTAAAATTAGCCCTTCCTACTTGTGATTATTTATTCATACGGCTTTATATGGAAAATTAACGCAAGTATTCTAATACGATATGTAGTTCAATCTCCGCTTTGTTTAACAGATATTCTTGTAGACTAGATAAAGCGATAAAATAATTGCGTAGTTGATAGTTCTCTTGCCTAATTATGTTCAAGATTGAATATTTCTGATGAATAAGATATTTCTTTATATAAAGAATGGTAGTCCTGTTTGTAATAACAGTTATTTAATGTAATAATTATAACGACACAAAATATGGTGAGTCAACCCTAAAAGATTGGTAGACTTATTAGAATTTTTAAGAGGAACTTTTTCGCCGTGGATGATATTTGCGTTTTACGTAGAAAAATTACTAAAAAAGGAATCTTATAATTTGAACCGGTTCCTAAGATTAGCCTAGCCTATTTAACCACACAAACAAATTCTACCGCTTAAAATATTAGTACAGACATTTCTTACCAGTTTTCCTACTTTACTATAGGAATATTATAAATTCAATGATCAATGTTTCGACAAAGATCTAACGCATTTTGTATGAGAGTTAATAGTGACTATGAACATAGCTTACATCCATTGTATATAAAAAAAATTGTATGCATATAAAATTAGGGCATAAGCTAGACAAAGCGTTACCTTCACTTTTATCGCTATAAATATATTACACACTAACAAAAATTCAGTTAAAAAGTTAGTCAAAGTTACTCTAAAACGAGGCAATGATATTTTCTACCAACAGCCTGTATACTGAGTTATTACATTGTTTCTTATGGTCTTCTTAACTTATTTTTATACAGAGCTGGACAATGTCCAGTGGACATACGTTTTCCAGTAATCTCACCTGATGTTAGGGATCCGGCCTATTGTCCTGTCCAGGATTATCCGCCACCACTTGAATGAATCCAGGTTCTCCTTCACCAGGTTCAACCCTTCGCTTCGCTCTTTAATTCATTTGAGTGTATTTTTGTGTATGGTAATAAACAGTTAAAATATTTCATATCATAATTGTTGCAATTTTATAATCTTCTTCACAAAATTATTTTTTAATGTTATTTCTATTTTAATACATAGAACTGTAATTTTTTTAATAATATAAAACGATAATTACAACTCACTGGCTGTTACAACAGTCTTCTGGGGTTTTGATTAGACTTTAAATGTAAAATAAATAAATAAAAACAAAAAACTAGCATGTATATAAAACAAGGTTTTAACAAGGGGTGATAAGTTTACGTAATAGGCTCACCCTCTTCATATTCCAAACATGTAAGCAAGGACGTTTCTTCATAGCGGTAAAGTATAAAAACTGTGATGTGTGCAAACACTGTATCACTCGCAAGTCGATTGTCCTTCTTTACATTACTCAATTAAATCAAACTTAACAAAATGTTCAAGCTGGTAAGTTGACTTTTTATTTAATTATTGAATATATTTTTAACACAAAATAAGAATCAACTGACTAAACTGGAAATATAGTAGTAGTAGAATTGTTAGTGTAACACAGTATCGAGTTAGCAAAATTCATTATTCTTCGCAGATTCATATGTCATTAAAATTGTTATTTTTTCTTACAGTTCGTATTTGCCTGCTTCATGGCTCTCGCCGCCGCCAAGCCATCAGTAGTGCCACTAGCGTACACCGCTCCAGTGGCCGCAGCGTACACAGCGCCAGTAGCAGCAGCCTACACAGCGCCCGTGGCTTACAGCGCGTACTCTGCTTACTCCGCTCCCGTCGCCGCTTACTCCGCACCTTACGCAGCTTACTCTGCCTACCCATACGCTTCTCCCTACTCCTACTACCTTCGTCGTTGATATATCAAAGCCCAACCTGTGATATTACATAAATAAATATGGTTTAAAAGCATTTCTTGATTTGATTTGATAAAATATTCGCCTCACCACATTACCTCCTGCAACAATTTTTTTTTCACTTCTAAAAAATTAATAATTCTTGACTTCAAGAAACCATTACAGAATTTGTATTCTAGGTCTTCTAGGTCTAAAGTTAAAAAAAAAACATCTACAAAATAAAAAAAATTGTAAGTAAGCTTAGGAAATTTCATCACTATATAACCTCAACTTTAAAATAAATTATCAGCTATGAGGCATTATTATGGGCAAGTATTGTTGAATATTTTCGGCAAAATCCAAAAGGTTGAACGGCCTTTCTACAGAATTTTTCCTTTATAATAAATAGTCTGACTTTAATAGATACATTTGCTACGCAAATTGATATAAATGGGATTTTTTCACGATACGCACTTTGTACCATTCTTTGCCGTTTAGTGAATATGTCTAACCTTAAAATATTTCAGGTGAAGTTTCGTTGAACTTTTAAAATGTATTGTTGTTAATTTTTAATATTGATTTTCATTAACGTCTCACTGCACTAGCTAATGATGGCTTCAGACTTGATGGATTGATTGCCAAAGTTAATTTTATCTAATATGACAGATTTCCATACAACTGTTCTTGCTTTATTTTGACTTTACTAGGGGATAAAAGATTAAAAACCTAGAAGTGTTAAACACACATTTTTTGGCAATCACCTGATTACAACACTGGACTACAAAACAGAAACAATTCGTTTCGCCCGCGAACCCATGGCCTTCACTTTTAGTGCATTAAGACGCCGAAACGAAAAGGCCTATAGCTGTTTCAAGTCTCTAACTCCTGTGGTTCAGGCTAATGAACCACTAGGAGTAAACTGTTTTATGTAAAAAGTAGTAATGCTGCAATGCTGGGACTCCGTATATAGATAGAGATAGAGCCAAAGATGATAACAGGCTCCTGTACTTTGTGTCAAACATCCATTTAGGTCTCAAAAGTACAGTTTTTCGTCTGAACAAGTAATGGCGCAAATGGAAAAATTTATTGGGGTTCAAACACACGATATCAAGAGATTCCTGCACTTCTAAACTTGCAAAAACCTGAACGAAAAGGTTTACTATATCTTTGCGTATTTTTTTGTAACTACATAATATATATATATTTTGTAAAACGATAAAATCATTTTATATGTGCGATAAGGGCATAATTATAATTTACCTTTTACCGGTTTAGGACAAATTGTTTTATATACACCTAGTAAGCACAAGTAGCGAAAAAACTCCAACTTTCGAAGTTCTGTCACAAACATTGATACGAAAATATAGTATTTCAATAGTAAGAACGTATATATTTTTCATACAATTTATTTTATATTTCTACAATAAAGAAAGAAAAAACATTTATTTGATTAAAGCACATACGCATATATACAGGGTGGCCAAAAAGTCGTGGATCAAACGCAAATAGGGGATAGATGAGGTCATCAGCGGCAAAAAATTGTTCTACGGGAGGTCTCTAAGGTCAACCCCTGCAGAGTTATGATTTATTTTGGTTTTTATATGAAAATTGACTTTTTTTTACTAATTCTTATTAAAATTCGAAAAAATCTACATCCTGTATCTTTTTCATAATATCCACTAGATTGGTACTGATGAGTTCTTGCGTTAGACATACTATTTATAGTTGTTTATTGAGTGTATTGAAGATAATATTAAGTTATACGATATAAATTTTTTTCAAATCAAAACTTTTTGTTTATTTCGGACCCCTCTAATTACTCTACCGAAAAGTGACCCTATATTACAAGTTTTGGCGCATTTAATATATATGGATTCTGAAAAGGTATTACACATGGCCATAAGTCGCTCTAATATCTTTCTAGGAGGAAAAAACAACAACGATTCGGACTTATGATAGATTATTTACCTACCTGTGACCAGTAGTGTGTGAATCGGACTAGATTCAAAGAATTGGACAGATGGCTGGAGGGTTACTTAGGAATTTGTTTAGACGGTACAGATTAAGTATTATGGTCAGAGTCAGGAATTTTGAGCATATTTTATTGTAAAATATTTTGTTTCCTATAAACAACCATTGAGAAATAATTGTTTTAATACAATTATTATTTCACAATCGTTGTTTGTAATCCCTATTAAATGCGCCAAAACTTGTAGTACAGGGACACTTTTCGGTGGAGTAATTTTTTTTCACAGTGGGGTCCAAAGTAAAGAAAAATTTATGATTTGAAAAAATGTTATATCGTATCACTTAATATTATCTTGAATACACTCAATAAACAACTATAAATAGTATGTCTAACGCAAGAACTCATCAGTACCAATCTAGTGGATATTATGAGAAAGATGCAGGATGTAGATATTTTCGAATTTTTAGAAGAATTAGTAAAAAAAAGTAAATTTTCATATAAAAACCAAAATAAATCATAACTCTGCAGGGGTTGACCTTAGAGACCTCCCGTAGAACAATTTTTTGCCGCTGATGACCTCATCTATCCCCTATTTGCGTTTGATCTACGACTTTTTGGCCACCCTGTATATACAAAAGAAATTCAAACACAATCACTTTAATCAAATATCGGCCTAACTCAGCTTTTGTTGCTGTCACCAGCAACACTGATTTTCAGTGAACCCAAACTATTTTGGAGTGACAGCTATTTACACTGAATAATACAAAAATTGTTAACAATTATAATAAAAATAAAATTATTTAAAAACAGAATAATAAAAATCTAATTACAAACACATAGAATATAAAATATGAGACAATGCAACTACCTGACTGGGTTGCATTAAGTCAGATACTTGCATTGTCTCTCTTTTAGCCGACTGACATTCCAAACATTCCAATATACTAGTAATCATACAATAATTTATTGCTACTCGATTTATTCGATTAAACGTGTCGTTGGTACTAAGGGTGCAGGCCGCGAAATCGTATTTAATACAGTATTTGTTTTTACTATTGAGACTTCGACTTTTCCTTTTACCCTTACGTGATTCTCATGATAAATCAGTGTTAGCTTCAGTGCGCGATTGGCCTTCTAGGTATGTATATAATTAGCTTTGAAGACTCATTTGATATCATTCAGCTCTGTAGCAGCAACTTGATAACACAATCAAAATGTTCAAACTGGTATGTATATTTTTAATTAAATAATCTTTCTATTTTCTTCTTTATTTAATTAAATTGAAATAAAGAATTAAATTCAGTACCTAATCGAATAATAAAAATACTCTTATAATACTGACGGTTAAGACGGTTTGTGAATTCTTAGTTAATACAGAATTTAAGTAATTTAAGTTTAATTATATACAAATTGTTACTGAATTTTTTAAGGAAATTAACGTATTTTGTTTATTCACAGTTCGTATTCGCCTGCTTCCTGGCCTTCGCTGCCGCTAAGCCCAGCGTGTTTCCTGTGGCATACACAGCAGCAGCGTACACCGCTCCCGTCGCAGCGGCGTACACAGCCCCCGTAGCGTACTCGGCCTATACCGCTCCTGTCGCGTACTCGGCCTATTCTACTTATGGATACGCTTCTCCATACGCCGCTGCTTACTATGTGCGCTGAAAGACATATATTATTGATTGATGGATTGATTAGTTTGAACAATAAATAAATTATTTTAACAAGAACAGGTTATTTTTATAAAATTATATTCCATAATACCAAATATTTAAAAATACTGTGAATATTGGCTTACGTAATGAAGCTTTTTTGTTTATCAATAACGATTGTTAAAAGTAAGTAATTTTCACTGTAAGATCCATTGTACCTTAGTATTCTATAAATTGAATAAACTCGCATAGATATACTAGACCGATATTACACATATAATACAAATAGTATTTCATGGCTTAGCTATTTTGCCAGGACAAAACCGGATAGTCTGATGCTATGGTTTGGGGATTGAGAATTTTAAAATTTGTTTGTACTTGTTTTTCTCGGGAAAAAATTAAGTAACGGTTGGTTTACTTAAGTATGTTTTATAGTAAAATCAACATGAGAATGTTATAAAAATATATCATCCCAATCAATATATTAGGCAAATTTTGCTCAGAGCTACCGAATAAGTTAATTTTACTTTAGAAATAACAAATTTCTACACAACACATCCGACATTTATAACATAACTCATTACTCTATAATTTATTACTTTTTGTTTTACAATTCTACTTCGTTGTTATCACTTTGGGATATAACATTATCTCCCTGTTTAAATTTTTAGGTATTTTTTAATTTGTTATAAACAGTAATGCTGCAATGCTTGGTCAGACTTCTTTGACGATCGATTTTGGTTTCAGACGTGTTATTTTTCTTAAACTGTGCGTTGAAACGGCACATTCGCACGTACAAAATTCCTTACAACGTCATAAGAACATACTGATGGAATGGTTGTCTGCATCATGGGCCATACTATTGCAGACATATTGCAACACATTGCCCAGCCATAGATTGCTCGGCCATCAGCTGTATTAAAATATTTTTGTAATGGCCGGGCAATTAGTTGCCAACAGTGCAGCCATCAATTGTAGCAAAACATGGCTCGTTTAGAAGCCTTATAAGACGTTGTCACGTCAAACCTTAGACTAACATGTTGAAACTTGCTAAAAATCTAATTCTTGAATTGGTATTGAAACTCTTGGATTAAAGAGAAAAAATATTGTTTACTTAGATACCTACTAGATTCTCGGATTACGAAATTTCTTCACTCCGAAATCAAAACTAACTCTTATTGGATCAATTAAGTGTCAATTCAAAAAAATACGATTAGCGGTTATTAAATCAATAAGCAGTGATAATTAATTATAAAGAACTAGAGAATAGACTAAAGAATTTACATTATTATTGTTACATCATTATTTGTTAGCTTTAAAATGCTTTCTTGCCGAAAAGCTTGCTCCATGAATACGTATGAACTAACATAATATTCTTTTCTATCGTGACTTATTTTTGATCGCCACTCAATAAGCTTTACTGTAAGGCATAAACGTAGTTACGTAGAACGGTCTTGACCATGATTTTCCGATGTAACAATTAAGAAAACAGTGCAGCTTTGACAAAACCAACACGCTTTTGTCAAATGTGCATAAGGCCAATTCATCCAAACTCACACACTTTCTTACATTAGCATGGGACCCAATCGCCAATAATAGGCTTTGTTTTTTTAAATAGAATAGGGGGCAAACAGGCGTGAGCCTCACCTGGGAGATTGCAATTAATCCCACGAGATCTCGAATCGTGATTGCATTCCCGAGCCTCATCTGACCGCCACCCATGGACACTCGAATCGCAAGTGCGTTGTCAGCCTTTTAGGAATTGTTTAGGAGGTATCTATCTTGAAGGACCCTAGGTAGAATTGATTTGAAAATACTTCAGTGATCAGCTGGTTCGACAAAGTGGCGGCCCGCGGTATTAAAATGCCTTAAAAAACGCTCAGTTGTAGGATATGGTGGGTAAAATGTCCGTTTAACCGATGATGAAAATCAGCTGCCGGTATTAATCCTAACAACGCATCCGAACACTCTCTGTTTTATATTTATAACAAATTCCAGAAATGTATAATATATATGTATTATAACTGATTTATTATAATTTCTTATTACTGAAGAAGTTAATTTAAAAGAATAACCAAATAAATATAAGGTAAAATAATAATATAAGATAAATGTATCATGATCTTCATTTATTCATCATTAAGGCTAATCATTTATACCGGTCCTATGTCATGTCGTTTCAGCGAAGGTAGTATGCAGCAGCGTACGGGGAAGCGTAGGGTGAAGCGTAGCCGTAGGCGGAGTAAGCGGAGTAGGCAACCGGAGCGGTGTAAGCCGAGTAAGCTACGGGAGCTGTGTACGCTGCTGCCACCGGAGCGGTGTACGCTGCTGCTGTGTATGCCACCGGAAACACGCTGGGCTTGGCGGCAGCGAAGGCCAGGAAGCAGACGAATACGAACTGTTAAAGAAATTATTATTAATGACACAAAATATGTAACAATAATAAATAAATAAAACAATTATTGAATAGGCAAAAAAATTACTGATTTATAAAATTAAAAATTGTTTAGTAAATAACTAATAAACAAGCCGTCTTGAAACAATACATCTCAATGCTCGGAGACTTTAAATTTAATCGTAAGGTTTAGATTAATTACCAGTTTGAACATTTTGGTGAAGTGATATCGAAGTTTGATACTCGAATGATTTTAGATCGGCTACTCCACCTCTTTATAGTAGACGTCTTGAAGGCCAAAGCTACGATGTAGTAGAAGCATACGATTCTTGCGCAGGCAAGATCTACTCCACAGCAATGGGTATGTAATGAAATCTGAACTAATTTATTCGAAATTTATAGTTACGGTAAAATTTTATATTAGTAAATTATTTGCTTCTTTCTCTTTTATTTCCAACACTAGAATTAAAAGGAGAAAATATTCAGCTACTTGAGGCTTAAATATCAATTTCTTTTGATTTATTTTAATTTATGGAGTAACCTAATAAAATGGATCAATCGATCAAGATACCCATTAAATTGGATTATACAGTTATAAAATTGTTTTATTAACTTTTATTCAAAAATTGTTGATGATAAAGTTTTATTTTTTATATAATTTTGCATAAACCAGTTCTAGTTCGTTTTCATACAACGAGCAATCAACGAGTAGTTCATAAGATTTGAACTTGAGGTAAACACCTACTATACAATAAAACTCTTAAAACTAACATTTGCGCAATTAACAGTAATAGAACTTGTTTTAACTTCTTTTAAAAAAAGGCGTTTCGTTTTTATCACAAAACCCTTGGCTCTACATTAAATCGGCACATTGACCTCCATGTGTGCAACTAGTAACGTCGCTGTACGCGGTGCACGCACGGTGTGACCCCTGACGCAATATAATCGAGCTTTGCATTTTTAGTTGGACTATTTATACCATAGTGTAATACGAAAAGTTGTGTGGCTTTAAATATTGTTACTTTAATTGAAAATCAATTCTAAAAACTGGTCGACAATGTTTTTCTTGTCAAAATATCGTAATCTAAAGGGTAAGGGTAAATCTTATAAATTAAATATAGCATTAATTAGTAAGAAATACATATGTCGATTTTCAGATTCCGTTTAAACGTTTTAATGGTTTGTTTAATTTTTTCATAGAGGTATTTCCATTGCCTTTTCTGTTACCTATGCAACTACAAAAGTACAAACAAAAATTAAGTAAAGCACTTTTTATCATTAAAAAATATAACCTAATCTTGCTATAAATATGCAGTGTTAACGATGTATTAAATATATTACAGTGCAGTACAGATACATATATCTTTAGCTAACCAAAAACACTAACTTCGTGTTTATATAATATTCACAAGATATATATGACCTCGTCTCCTTATTATAATAATATACTAATGTAGAATCAGCAAAAAAATAAAGAGAAAAGTCTTTAACACATGTATCCTACCCTGCCTTACCTATGGCTGCGAAACTTGGGCACTATCTAACCAGCACAGGGATATGTTAGCACACTGCCAAAGAGCCATGGAAAGAAGCATGCTGAGCATAAGAAAATTAGATAAACAAATAAACTCAGACATAAGAGCTAGAACAGGTGTGACAGACATTCTCACTAAGATTGACCAAATGAAATGGAGATGGACGGGTCATATGCTACGGAGCCCTCATGAAAAATGGAGCAAAATTGTGACGGAATGGTACCCTAGAGACGGAAAACGAAGAAGAGGTCGACCACGCAAGAGATGGGAGGACGAACTGAAACTAACAGCAGGCTACAACTGGAGAAGAGTCGCAAAAACTGTGGAAAGGGTTAGAGGAGGCCTTTGCCAAGAGGCAAACCGAACTCCGAGATATACTGGAGTGAAAATATATTAAAGTTCAGATATATAAAATGACAGAGTTTCGGAATTTAAAGGCTATATTATTATTATTATTATTATAATGTAGAATCAAGTCGATTTTAATAAAATCATATCGCCCTCATAAGAACCATACTTACATGCCAACAATACAGTAATAACGCAATAGATAAACAATTACTTTACGATTAGTTTCGAATAAAACCATCCAAGATCCTTGTCTTGAATGTGTAGCAGTAGTTCAGTTAGCAAACCACCAAACCAAGAGCATGCTAATAATAATGTATTTCTTATTCTGGCTATTTAAAGTGTAGGCTATCGTATTCCAGTATCATTCACTTCACTTCTCTAGACGAAGACAAACAAAAAAAACATGTTCAAGCAAGTAAGTAAAAAGCTATATGTATATTTTGTTCATTAAAACAATATTCTAAGAACAATTTTACTCTTATAGATTATCTTCGTAACCCTGCTCGCTGTCGCAGCAGCTAAGCCCGGCATTCACTCTGTGGCTTACCCCGCTCCCGTGGTAGCAGCTCCCGTAGCAGCAGCCTACACCGCTCCCTTTGCGGCAGCCTATACTGCATACAGTGCTCCCGTTGCGGCCGCCTACACTGCACCCTTAGGAGCTGCTTACACTGCTTCTATAGCGGCTGCCTACACAGCCCCCGTTGCGGCTGCATACCCTGCCCGTGTATCAGCTTATACCGCACCGGTAGCCGCAGCCTACGCTTCACCAGTTGCCGCCGCCTACACCGCTCCAGTAGCCGCTGCCTATCCTGCCTATGCTTCTGCTTACACTGCTCCTCTTGCTGCATACAGAGCACCCGTCCTCCTGAAATGAGTCTTAAAATAATAAACGACTGATTAAACATGATTAAAGATATTAGCTAAATATTTTGTTTTGATTTTGACCTACAAAACCCAAACTTTAAGCATTAAATAATGTTTTCTGCTTAAAATCAGTCTACGTGCTTAATATTCACCTACAAGAAATAGTTTGAAAATATAATAAAGCAATACCTTAGACTAGCATTAAATTTTATCAAATAGATCTGTTACACGTCTATTACTAAACAAGTTGTCTATGTCTGTAATTTGAATGAACTACATACGAATTTATTATTCATGCTATATGGTCTAATTAATTAATATAAAAAAAAAAATTTTATAATTTGCATGTAGTAATTTTTTTTAATTTTTTCAATCAATATTTTTAATCATGATTGTATTATTTATGTATCACTATAACTTTCTTTTTTACTAAAGATGTATATTATAATATATTGTCACATAAAAAATATACACATAAATAATTAATTGATTAAAAACAACCTAACGTTTGCATATTCTATGGTAAAGTATGAAACTTTCGATTGGTATAAAATTTATCTAATAATCATACCGGTGAAACGTTAAAAAAAATTTTTTTTTTTAAATATTATTTAAACATACTCTGGACTGAAATTTGCTAGGCAACCCATATGGATTATATTTATTGACATATTAAATTAAATATAAAATACGTTTCATTAAATAAGCATCTCGGTGAAGGTCGTTGTATATCGGGATCTTATACTAATATAATAAATGACACATCCTGCGCACTGAATATGACAATAGCTTTAAATATGGAATTAATGACATCATATATTGTTTCGAAGTTGGCTACCTCGAAGGTGACGTCATTGGTGTTCCCCACAATCGAGATGGCCCGATAACTCATTTAAGCATAGTTAATGTGACATTTAAGGGGACATTGCTGCGTTAGCAACCTAAAATACCCAACCCTTTGATCTACGGAATATCAATTATCGAAGGTTATAGCGAGACGTAAAGTAAAACGCTTTGAAGAACAGTATCTTATGATAAGAGAGATAGAGTATAACTTAGACTTGGCATCTTTTACTAAATAATCAACCGGAATTGTCCTATTCTAAGAAGTAATACTACTTCAAAAGCACAAACATATCTTTATTTGCAGTTGCATAATGTATATGAGTGTTGCCTGGGTTACATTTATACATAACCATGAAAACTTATTGTATGAAAATTGTAAATACTGTATTTGTGTAAATAAAATCTTATTGTTTTTATAATAGAAAAAAAAACACAAACTATTTCTACATTAATAACACAATATTAATAAAATTACTATACACATTAAAGGCATTGCCTTAAGCTTTGACAATAGGAAATAAAATGTATTAGTTGAAAAAGTATTGAGATCGCATTGGAATTCATTATTGTTGTTAAATTGATTTTTAAAATAAGTACTCGACTGATATAGGATTTCTTAAGTTAATAAGCTAGGGCTGTATTATCTCATTTAGTCCACTTTTCAATTGCGTCAAAGCTGGTGACATTGTTATGAAGTCTATGAAACTCAAGACGCTCTAAATATAGATTCTTAATTTTAAGCTTTCGGAGTTTAGTCAATACTAATTTTAGATTCTTATACATTTAAAAAAAAGGTCTAAATTATTTTTAAATACTCCGATAGCTATCATTTTTTTGTAAGAGGTTTGGATTCAATAGCAAAGAGAATATTAATTTATAAATAAGAAATTATATTCATTGATTATTATTGAAAACAGAATTATTAACTAGTTTTTAAAACTTGCGGAGTTTCTTGCCCGTTCTTCTCAGAACAAGGCAGTCCTGGTAGTTTTGCGAATAGATGGAAGTCTTGCTCTTTAGCGAATTTTGTAAACGTTTTTGACATTCATAAGCATGCCCTAAGACGCAACTTAATCGAATAAACGTATTTTGATTTGATTTGATTTTAACCGACTCCATAGAAAAATAATCAATGTATCAAATTGATGTCTTAACCTACACTTCACTGGCCCGCTGCGCACATAATTTAATCCAATGCCGAGACATCCAATAATACAATAATACTACTGATTTTTTACTGAGATTTAGATTAGAGTTTATAGGTACTACAAAAATGTTTAGGTACGCTACAATAGGACATCTAAAGGTTTAACAACCCTATTTTAAATAGTACTCGTGGTTCCAATCCTGTTCGTAACAACAAAACACGTTATATTTTTTTTTACATAAGTTAAAAAAATCTTAATGTTATGTAAACAATAAAATCAAGTTCAAGGTCTTATTTTGTGTCCTCGTGTCCATCATCGGTTAAGGATGTTCATTTAATTTGAATGCGACCACGTACACATCGAATGTTCTATACGGATCCTTATAGTAAGATTAGAAATTCTACAGGCTGTTCAATATAAGAATATATCTTAATATATATATTTCTTCTGTGCGTGTGTATGTGACTGAACTCCTCTCAAACGACTGGACCGATTTTGATGAAATTTTTTGTGTGTGTTCAAGGGGATCTGGGAATGGTTTAGATTCACAAATCACCCCGGCAGATGGCACTGCAGTCGGTACTTTCATACTTTGCTTAATATCCTAATCGCTTTAAATATCATGCAGGACAACGTCTGTGGGGTCCACTAGTAACTTATAAATAAATTACATATACGAAAGGTGCGAAAGACATATGACAACAGTAAATTAAATAATCCAACATTAAAGCTTGAGAAAACGTTCGTAAAACTGAGCCGATGCATTTTTAGTTCAGAACTTATTAGTAATGAAACATGTATTGAAATTTTCTTTAAAAAAATTAATAGGTATGCTGAACGAATAAAAAGTAAATAAATCAATGGCACTACAACCTTTTTGGGTCTAAGGCAAGCCGGTTTCCTCACGATATTTTCCTTCCGCCCACATAGAAAGAAAGTCCAATGGTGCACAGCCGGGGATCGAACCTACGACCTCAGGGATGAGAGTCGCACGCTGAAGCCACTAGGCCAACCCTGCTCATGCTGGACGAATATTTGTAGTTTTTCACCAACATCCATTTGATTGTATTGGGACTGTGTCTATAATTATTAAACAGCAAACAGCCTTATTTCCCTCCATGGTGAAGTAATTATTAACTATTTTATTATAAGCGTATAGTGGCCTTATTTAACCTAAGCAGTGTTGGCATAGTGGCTTCATAATGTGGTTTGATCCCCGTCTGTCCGTATCCCTCGCTTGAACGGTGTAAACATTGTGTTTCCTCACGCTTACTTTACACCTAAAAAGGCGAAGCCTTTGTCACAGAAGGCTGAAGGCACCTGCTTGTCTTTGAAATGGCAATGATCCATATAGGTGACCTAATTTGTCGGATGCCTCGAAAAGGTATTTTCTCTTCTCTAAAACATTTAGGATTTTGAATAACATCCTATATAAGAAGACAATGATACAGTGTAAGTATATTCCAACCGCGTATACGTCCTGATAGTATGTCCTTGCGATGTAAAGCCAAGAATTGGGTGTCATCATTGTCCTGTATATATATTAGTTGGATGAAACAGCAGGTAGTCAGTGTTCAGTGAACAATTAAACTAAACAAATCAACATGTTAAGATACGTAAGTGGAAAATATTTATATTATTCTTAATTCTAAATATATCGAAGTAATTGATCCGGTTTTTAAATGTTTTTTATAATATTAATTTGATTTTAAAAAAGCTTAATTAGTGGGTTCAAATGTCTCCTCAAATTTTGTACGATGCTGGATCGTTCTATATATAGAAATTAACAAATTCAATTTATAATTAAAATAGCGTTAAATTTTTACTATTGGTAACAATTTCAATCAAAAGAATTATAAATTATTTGATATTAGTGTTTCGATTAAACAGAGAAAGATAAACTACTTTATCATTATATTGATAATAATTCTATGGCCTTAAACTATGAATTTTTCAATACAACATCAAAATATTGTGTCCACAACATAATATAAATTCACGGATTTTTTTGAAGCCATCTAAGCCATCTAAATCTACTAGTGGCTTACAGCTAACTTATGCATATTAACAGCAAACTCTCATAATCCTTCTAATGGCTATAAACCCATAGATTAATGCTCAACGAACGTTGACTATTTGGTTTATACTGCGGTCATCTATAATATTTGGTGTAGGATAAGCTAAGACGCCTAAAAACTCAAAATCAAAGTGAGTGAAATAAACCAAAAAAAAAATGTGGTGTAATTAAAATTGTTTGTAAAATATCACGTCTGTTTGACGGAATATTTATTTGGAAAAGTTTAATAACATTCATATTGCGTATGTTTTTAATCAAAAGTACCAATGTATGTGAGTATGAGCCCGATGCAGTTTATATTGATCTTTTATGTATACAAACTTGAAACAATTATTGGTTTCTCGGAAATCGAACCCAACTCATTATAATATGCTAGTGATATCAAATAGGAACATCATTTAAAAATCGAAATAGCTAAGAATAATGAGCCTAGTCCTTTTCTTTAGTAATGTGGTAATTCAATTTCAGTTGGTCTTCCTCGCCCTGTTGGCTTTCGCCGCAGCCAAGCCCTTGGTGTACACAGCTCCCATAGCTGCTGCCTACACTGCACCAGTTGCCGCTGCCTACACCGCTCCAGTAGCCTATTCCGCCTACTCAGCGTATTCCCCAGTAGCCTACTCCGCCTACTCCGCCTACCCCTACGCTGCACCATACTCTTACTACTACTGATCTTCTGATGACTCGACTTTGGACCAACGATGTTTATATTTGAATAAGGCTAATTAAATTATTACGCCAATTTTATTGTTTCTTATTTATTTTATAACTTGGATCCATGTAGGAATATGTGCTTGACATATTATATAGTGTATCACTTACCTTAGAAATGAATACAGTACGTTGATAACTATGTAATAGGTAGCTACAGTATTAAGTGGGTTTTACTGTATATTTTTAGGTGATATTAAAGTTGGTATTCATTCAAATACCCCAGATTCATAAAAAACAAGATATTTGCACCGTTTTAACTACTCATTTGTTGTTTTTTACAGCGTAAATAAAATTTTACAGAAAGAGACAAAAGAGTACTTTAAAATAGTACAATTATAGTCAATTAGTATTTATTAATATTGCACCACTATATAAATTAATACTGTATAATCAACAAAGACTTGCATTGATTTGGAGCGCAATATCAATAAATTATTACAAGAATGTCCCACACATTCTTGTAAGAAATCGATGAAAAAAATTATCAATCAAAAAATCGTTAAGAAATCGTCTTATAAGCGACTGATTTTAGATTTTCCATGACATTTCAGTTAATAGGTATCAATTACAAAACCCTTTCTATTCGAAAATCGAAATCATATGACATTTCAATTCTGATCGATGGACGGAGAAGAAATGCTTAAAAACACACAAAGAATTTCACATCGTATTAATAACAACCTACTTCTTCAGTTTTTTCTTACAGTTGGTTAGGAATAAGAAAAAAGGGTGCGTGTACTTATGTACGCGCGTAAGAAGTTATACTTCTTTGGCATTATTAAAAATAGTTTTTGATTGCATGCAAATAATTAATTACAATTAAATAATCAAAGACTGGAAAAGGAGTCATTAAAGTCAATAAAGTTCAGTTTACATTTGAAAAATTAATTAAATAAATATTTATTATTATTCTCTTACATTAAACAAATAAAACACTATTTATCTTTAAAACATTTTTATTTCATTATACTATTTATTTTTAAGTGACTCTAATGTCTTCATCAGAATTTCGGTTTGTAATTTTAAATTAATCATTACTTGGTTGTGCATCTACGAGGCTTCTCCAAAACTACTTGCTTTCTGCAACAAATAAGAGAATATTAATTTAAGCTCTGTCCATGCAAAACTTAAAATTTTTTATAATTCATATTATAAATTTTTAACACATTTATATTAATATAATTATATAAATGTGTTAATAATATAATTTGTAGCACATGCTACAGACCTGGATAGCAATTCTTTTATTCTATTTAGAGATAGAGATAATTTAAATATAATACCGGTGTTTTCCTTGTAGGTTTCTTTGGAGTTGTTTGGGGATTCTTGTTGTTCAGTTCGACATGATTTTCTTTAACCTTTCTTTAATCCTACAAAATAATGAAATTGTTAAGTTATGTTGTCACTGTTGTGCACACCTTTGTTTGGCTTTTTTAGTATTCAAGTTATGTCAAAACTGATTTATTACCTTGTCATTGTTGGCTTTATTTGCTTTTGGGATATCAATTGTTTCCAAAATGATTTTATTTGTAATAACCTGAAATATATAAATAACATCTATTAATTTAAGTATCATGGTGAGTGGTTCGCACTCAGGTATTAAGGTGTATTATACCCACTGTATAAGTGGGAATGGGCTCACTTCTGGCAGGACAGAGTTTCGGTACTACAAGTGCAACATGGATGTTTTGAGGTATTACAATATCTCTAACTACCCTGTAGGGGAATAAAGTAATGTTGTAAGCATATGCCTATGCTTGAAAGGTTGAACCTTGAACATCACCATACATCATATTTATAATTAACATTCCTACCTCGACACCATCACAATCAAATTCATTGAAATCTACTTCAAACCATTGTGTCTCGAGAAGGTGATGGTGGCTTTGTTCCACCTCCAGTGTTTGATGTTTCACTGCGATAAGATGACAACTCTTTTTTGTATTCAATTTAGTGCACTTCCACTGATTCATCAATTGTTTTTTGTCTCTTGTCCTTATATTTGCTAGATTAAATCTGATGTTTTGATTAAATAATGTGGTCATTTTTTTGAGATGCAGGTACTTATTAAAATGTTTACTTCTCTGTTATATCGCTCCAAGCCTTCATTTTCTCCTTATTAGTATTCGTGCTTAAATCTTTGTTCTCAATTATTGATATATAGGGTCGTAGAATATTTCTAAAAAGTTGCTGTAACAAACGCAATAAACAAAAGCAATGAATAATGGTTCATGTTTCAGTTTTAATCAACAATAATACTCGATAATACATACGGATAGTTAACCTCAATTGTATTGAAGCACTCAGGAAGGTTAGCACAGTTTTTTCACAAATATTTTATATTATTTCACAAATATTTTGTATAATGAAAATAACTAGGTATATAATTATTAATTTTAAACAATAATTAAAACTCCTATATTTGTTTAAAAGGTAAATGTCATTGTCAGATGTCAATTGTCATGGTCATTCAAAATTCTTGTTAAGCTGCTAAGCTAGAATATGCGTGAAGTTAGCTTCACGCATATTCTATTTCTTTTACTTGTAGTTTGTCTTATTCCCATCTCGCTCGCGCACGCTATATCACACTGCCAATTTTGTGTCATAGGTGCGCGCGCAATCGTAAAATTTCACTCTCATCAATTTTTCATAACGCGCCTAAAGAAGTACAACTTCAAAAATCTCTTCGCAAAAACCTTTGCAAAGAAATTACTATAAATAATTAGGATTCATGTCGCATTTTAATTATATTACAAATGTCAATGATTTCCTATATCCATTTATGCAAGCGATATATTACGTATAAACCATTTCAACCTTGATTCGAGATTTACTATTATATTAATGATCAATACAAATAATAAATGCTTCAAATATATAAAATAAATTTTACGAAATTAAATTTAGGTAGTTTTTGCTAGAACCTTAAATCTACAAAATATTTGAGGCCTATAATTGCCTATCTACACTTTTCATAAGTGCTATAAAAGCTATCAAAGATCTGGTGCAGAAACAACTCTTTAAATTGTCCCAATGAATCTGTTTTCTAAAATACTACAAATTTTTTTGCTTATAATTAGTTACAGACATTAATGGCATAAGAGTTAAGTGTTTTTCTAATTAAATATAAACAATTTAATACTAAAAAATAATTGATTATTAAACAGAATGTAACATTAAAATTACTTTATTCCAGACGAGCGTATGATTCCCACATATACTGTCACAAAACAATCCTATCTAAGCCATTATCTTCCTACATTTTTAGGCATCTGCGAGACAAGGTCGCGAAAGAAAAGATGATTTCAGATGCTTTAGTTCAGCCATATTATATTATACATTCTTTTGTTTACTAGAAAACCATTCAGGAAGACCTTGGGCATTCAACTCAAATCGCAACTCCAATAGACACTGATCTATTCATGATTTTGTTACTGTTAAGCCGGGCCGAAATATATAAGCTTCAAAAAATTCATGGTGTTCAGTTGTCCATCGCAGGAGGCAAGGACTAGTAAGAAATTACAATGAATTCTGTACTGGTAAGTAATATGCATTGACAATATTTAGCGGTCATTTACTATCACTTACTGTGGCGATCGTGATTAATTAACCATAACAGGTTATATAATGCAGAAGTGTAATATCGGTATAACTTAGTATAATTGAAGGGCTTGTTTGTTTACCTTGTTAGTCGTTACTCGTTATCGTAATTTATACATGTTCGACGCAGACTTTGTTTTAGAATAAAAATAGTCATTATATTATAATCATCAACTAAATAAGATAAGATTTTTAATTAAAATAAAATATCGGCACAAAAATCGTATTCCCAATAAATGTAACGGAAAAAAAAAATCCTCTATCTTCCATAGAAAATCACTAAAAAAATAAGTGTCTATTCAGATTTTATTCAAAGTTTTAACTTAATTATATTAAATAACTATAAAAATAATTTTGCACTATTTCTTATCACGTAAATATCACTTCACAGATAATATTCGCCGTTATGCTCTCTGCTGCAGCGGCCGATCCAGCTGTTGTAATAAGCAATGGCATACTGACTTCACCATCAGCCGCATACATTGCCTCATCACCTTTGGTTTCACCTGTCGGAGCACCCTTCGCATCTCTCAACTCACTCCCCGTGTCCACACTACCGTACACGGCCGTATCCTCATTACCGTACACGGCCGTGTCTGACTACAGATACTCCTATGGTTCAGGCCTAAGCTATCAGGATTACGCGCCAGTTGCCCTATCTGGATCAGCTGTATCGCTTCCTTACACCTTGCCTTATGCCTATGCTGCTGATTGGTACTACCGGAAGTAACTAACTAGAAGTACAGAGCGAGTGTAATTATCCGAAACTGTTGATTTCTTCCAAGGTTTGTTTGTTATGCGTATTTTAAATAAAGTGTTATTTTAATACAATGTTTTCTTAGTGGCCCTGATAAATTTATTCATTCACAAAAATACATACACTATAAGATATACACCATCGCTAATGTAAACTGACTCTGCGAACATATAAAGATGTCGATAGTGTCGGAGACAGCATTCAGTAGGTAAGGTTAGGTTAGAAGATCAATAGTAGGCATCAGAAGATCACTAGCAACAGACTGGTTCTGGCCCTTGGCATCGTAAACAACCTTGGCCTTCACCGTCGCACATATCCCTTAGGCAGGGAATATGTGATATGTTTGTACCTACAAATAAATATATTCTAAACATGGTTTTCATCTCAATTATCAGTTTTTCTAAAGATTTGTTTGATAACGAAACATTTTCAGTAATAACATAACATACATATATAAAATACTTTATTATAATGTAGAAATACCTTATAACAACATAATTAATTCAATTATTAATTTATTATGCGTAGATCTTTGTGTTATCATTGTTACATATTTATACTTTACAAAAACGTCATTTAATAAAGCGTCAATTAATTCTTTTTTGTTTGTACTTCCTGTATTGTTATTAATTTACATTATTTCACAAAGAGGAAACTTAGATAAGACTTGACCCCTACATTTTTAAGAAATAATATATTTCGTGTTAATGATTGAAAAGCGATAACCATCATTTATATATATATTAATATAAATCTTCCTTGTTTGCCATCAAACTCCGCCTAAACGGCTGTACCGATTTTTTTTGGTTTTGTGTGTTGAAGTGGATTCAAGAATTATTTCTATTTTTTTTGTTGACGTGTGTACGGTTGTGTCCGATAGTATTTTATAAATTTAATAATTGTTCATTTTATTAGAAGAGATTTGCATCATGGTAAATAGCTACTAAGTAACTAATACCTCTAATATTTGTATTCAAAATGTGTTGTATTCAAATCTTCAGGATTTCGGATGCAGCTTGGTATGGAAATATTAGGTACTCCGCCAGGTCCACATTAGTTTTTTAGAATATATTTTGTTGTATAGGGTGTAAATCATTCTGATTCGGCCATGGCGACTAATCTCTATGAAAAAAGGGCAATTCTATTTCTTAAATACATAACTTAATGATAAACGCCCAAGAGACGCTTCACGTGCAAGAGCCTGTTAAAACACCTTTTTAAGGGGTAATTTGATGTAGTAACTCGTAATATATATAAACTAGTAATCGTTTCGTTATATTCTATAATAAAAAAATAAAGAATTTCAAAAATTTATTTAGAAAGGCGAAACAAAGTCAGTTATCATGCTATTGGTCGTCGTGACAATTTACTAAAATATTACTATAATTTCAAATCAAGTGCGGAATTGTAAATTTGTAGGTTCATCGTACAAAGTAAGGGTTGTATGCGTAAGGGAACGTGTAAGCGGCTGGGACGTATCCGCTTCCATAGAATGCGGGGAAGGCTGCCGGGGCGGTGTAGGCGACTACTTGTGGGTCAGGTTCCGGCTTTGGGCTGGCGAAAGCTACCGCCACGATAGCGAAAAATGCGAGCTGAAATAAAACACAAAAACATTAACATGTATAGTGTTCCTTATTTATTATTTATAACTATTCTGGATGTACATTGATAATAACGCATGAAGATAACAATAAAAAATATTATATTTAACAAGCTGTATGCTATTCGGCCAACTCGACGGCTTAGTTAAACATCATAAACCAAAATGCTAATTTACGGATAACAAATTAAATACGAATCATGCCCAAGTTTCTACCTTTCATAATTCATATGGAGATAATTTTAATAATCAAATGTTAGTCTATAATATTTTTATTGAAACAAACTGCTAGAGGATTCAAACATTACACAGTTTTCACAATACGATAAAAAATGTTTTTTCAACACCGTTAACACAGGCAATTGCTATGTCATACCAATATATTTGACGTAATCGAATGTGTTGTATTTTTAAGAAAAGATTTTCGTTCGAATAGTGTTGACAAACACTTGAAAATGAGTCTGAAGTTGTGAAGGGCGGACAGTCATATAAAAGTCACGAATTTATAAAACCCAACTCTTATATAGAAATACTCCGTCCTTTAAAATATTCTGGAATGCAACAATACAGTAGTAATTAATTTTGACTTGTAATTGAACCTAAGCGGTAGAGGTTAAGATTATATTGTTAATTATTATTTTTTATCAATTATAGTTTGTATGGGGTATACGACCTAGATACAACAAGATACTCATATGTTTAGAATTTTTGTAGGTTACAGATTATCTAATTGATCACACTAATATAAATCCCCGTATGTACCTAAAATCGTTATTAGTGTCGAAATTTCAAAGCTAAGATTAAAAATGAAAATATATTATTACTTGTGCATGGACGTTTTACCAACATTTACATCTATAAATAACTCGCTAGACATATAAAGGTTGAGAAAACAATAATCAGGCTTTGGAAAATTAAATTTGGAACAAAGAAAATTAACTTGATAATACCAACAATATATTCGGGATAAGAAAGCCTATAAAATATAACTTCGCTAAAGCAATTTCCATGACAGAGTTAAACAATAACCCTATTAGCCGAAATGCCGTAGAACTCATATGAATTTCTAAAGATCTGTTCTGGCTTCACTTGGAAAGACATTTATGTTTTAAATATTTTATATACCCTACGTGAAAAGCAAAAGGTAAATTCTAATGGTTAAGGAATTTTAAAATTCGGTTTAGTAGTTTTTTTTTAAATTTATTCATACATAAATCAAGCAATAGTTTTAAACGTTATATTTAAAAATATATATGTAGTTCAAAATATGGTTATAAATAAATAAAGGATTTTACTTAGATATAATTTTTTCCTTGTAAACGAAGTATAGACTTAAAGTCGATATTTTTTAAATTATTTACGTGAGAAATTAACGCCCCGGTAAAATATTACATAGTTAATTAAACGCAAAAAGTTAGAATAAATAAAGAAAAACAAAACGGTTTAAATATGGTTATAATGCTACTTGCTTTGAATTGTTTTCGTTAGACGTAAGCGACTATACGTAACCATAAATCGAGTACCTAGAATACTACGAAAATACGTCTTATAACTCCGCAGGGCGGGTTCTTGATTTTTAACTTAAAACTTTAATATGACTATTGACTCTAATCAAGTAACATATTATTAGATAATAACAATCTAAAACTTACGATTCTGAAGAACATTTTGCTTGTTTCTTGGATGCGTTTTCTCAAGTGATATCGATTACACTAATGCTCTAGTTTATATACAATAGAACAAGACTGACCACGCCTCACGCACTTGTCTCCATGATTGATGTCCTTGATCTTCACAGGTAATGTATTCGATGGTTATGTCAATAATTACATCCGTATTGGGCGGCTTCAATTTGCAATAATCAAACCTTAGGGTTCCACAACTTTCTATATTGATAAATTTATAGAATAACTCTTATATTAACTACGACCTACTTTGATAATTAGACAATTCACTATAACAGTATAATGGTAGACGATTCACTTTGGAAAATAATAAATAATAATATAAAACACAATAACAAACTGTTAACTCACCATGTCACAGAGTAGACAGAGAACAAAGCAAAGACATTGCTTTGAGTGACATTTCTAAGGCGCGAAATTGAAATTGATATCTGACAATAATGATTTTGCCTTAATAGAATGCATAATTAACATTTATTGGATTTTTCTGAATGTTAAGTAAGATTTAGTTGAATTTTATTAAAAAGACTAAAAAACTAATTCGTCTGCAAAGGTATACAAATTAGAAGTTATCGCACCTACCTACATTATTTTTTTATATGTGGCGTATCTTGTCTGTCATTTTTATGTCTATCTTTTTTCTGTTTGCTTGTACGCATAACGTATTACATAAATTAGTCTTCAGGCTGTTTCAATGTTAAACAAAGGCTTATTTCTGAGGCTACATACAATAGTTACTATCACTTATAGACTACTTCGAATTTCTACATAAGCAACTGCAGCAACGGGGTATCAGAGGTCCTAGGTTTAAATCTCGGTGATAAAATTACTTTCAGGTATGTATGAATGAGTTCATCTTGCCCATATATACATGTACAGCAATGAGGCTTTCCACGCCCAAGAAAGATTGCAAGAGTATCATAAAATAAAATATTTCGAGAATAGCTAGAATAACATAGTATAAAATAAAATACATATATGTGTGTTTAGAGTGGCCTTGCCACATTAATAAATGATCAAATTTATGTTTTTCCAACAACATAAACATATATATATATATATATATATGGTATCCCTAATAAATGCACATAATATTGAACATTAACATGTACTACAATACCAGCAGTATTCACGTGCAGAATAATTATAAGAATAACTCAGAAATTACTTTGTTGCAAATTAATTTTAATTGTTAATATTGCTGCATAAAATGTATTTAATAATCCTGTTTTTTATTAAGAACCAAGTAGTGACGTTTTTAAAGAAACCTCAAAAAATACATACTAAAAATTAATGATACGTTTAATATGTAACTGCGCAGTTAGCCTTCCGCCTATTAAATAAAGTTTATTGCTTTTAATTAAAACATATATGATTTTATAAGTATTTGTTTTATGTTCCACGATTAAGAAACATTTTCATCTGTTTTATTAAATTATTTTTAGGCAAGTCAGAATTATGTGCTTTACACTAAACTGGTGATTTTTTCAAATGTTGCAGGCTACATTCGGGAATCGAACCCATATTTTAATTGATTGATAAAGTTAGTCGTCAGAATGAAATCTTTTAATAATATTAGTGTAGTTATCAAACCTTATTTAATTTCACGGAAAATACCGCATTTTCAAAAATTCCTTTCGTTTCCTCTGATATATACTCGTATATATAGATATTTAAGTTTGTAAGTTAATAAACAAATTTAATTAACACTTAATTGATTATAGTTGAATAATTATTAGTTAAAAAATATCCATTTGTTGTGTAAATTAAACAAACACTACAGGTTTTAATTTGAATTTATTAAAAAAGAATTCAGAAATGATACAAAAATGTTCTCCTAATATTATTTACTAACGATATTTTACATACAATGTTCCATATAACATTTTCAACATTTTCAACAATATATTTCCAAAACCAAATTCATCAATTAGCTGTTACACACATTTATATAAACTAAATTGAACATGTTTTACAGATGATAACGAAACTTTTGGATAAAAACCAAAAATCAAGCGGTATTCAATTGTTTGTAATCTTAAATTCAAAATTCTTAAACCGACATGGTATAAAAGTTTTGCTTAGTAAAATCCGTTGTAACCATTATAACTGTTATAGGGATAGCTACCATAGCCGCCGTAGCCACTGTATGCTGATGGGTTTGAATAACCAGAGTAGCCTCCATAGTAGCCTGGATATCCACCTGAGTAGGTATTATAATATCCGGAGTATAGTTGCTGAGGTCTAGCCATGGCGAAAGCCAAGACGGCGAATAAGATGACCTGAAAAATTTAATGAAGTACACCATTCGTGCTAAAGTAAAATCCAACAACGCCTATGAAACAACTCATTTCGTAAATGTTGTTATCCAAAATTTGAGATGTAAAGACTGAACATGCTATAATAAATTATTTTAACTCACATTAATTAAAAATATAAGTGAGTTTTAACGTTGGTCTAATTTATTCTAAACCCTATAATTAGCGTCCGCCAATTTAATTGGTAAACTGATGTAGTATTTATATATTTCTTGTTTATTATTGTTTTCATCAATTGTATTACTATAGCTTTCTTTATCAGTGGCTTAGTGCTAACATTTTTATAATAAATAAACGTCTAAAATATTACAAATTTTTCTTAGGATCTGATCTGAATATATGTAAACACCGTTTCTATTATATTCATATGATACAATAAATGAAAAGGTTCGTATGGACCTTAAATTCTTCAAGTTCACCTCATTTCTATTAAATGATACAGACATAGTAACTCTATTTTTATTTCTTACACAATAGATTATTTACAAAGAAGAGTTACATGTTCTATTTGAAATATTTCATGAAATGATTGTTATTTGGGGTTTCCTTTTGACAATATATTTCTTTAAATAGCTCTATTGTTGTTCATAAAACTGGATTATAATAAATATTTTTTTTAGTAAAAAATGCTATTAAAAGGCATATCAAATCTAAAAGATACTAGATCTTTCAACACACACTTTCACAAGTGTGTTTGTTATATACTAAAAATTTGAAAGATACTTAAATATGAAAATATATTTCAAACTAAATCTGTATACCGAATTCTTAAAAAGTGAACGTTTAAATGAGACTTATTAACGATTTATTTAAATCAATACAACGTAAAAAAATATTAATAAAAAATAATCTAGACCTCAGCGTTCTAGTAAAATGTTGAAGTATATATCTTACCAGCTTAGCAAACATCGTCTCAAATTTAAATAGTCAAATAAGTGTTCCTCCTCTCAGATCACAATGATACTGTTTTATTTTTACGAATTTAATAACATTTATACATAAATAAGTCCTTGAAATTATTCGTTACGCTGAGGAAAAACAAAAGAACTCATTGGGAATCAATGTGAATTACGAGCACAATAACAGTACGAGTGCTACATTTACAAGTAGGTTAGCTTTGTTCAAAATAAAATGTGCTGAATTATAAACAAGAGGAGACGTATATGGTTATGTGTCATTATATTTATTTGCACATTAGGGCCTTAAAAGGTGACAATAATCATTAAAACTCTGTGAGAAACTATTTTAAAATTTTCCTGTAGCCGTGAATTCAACTTGTCGGGAAAGTAATTATTGCTTTTCAGTCACGAATACGACTTCCGGTCACAGTCTAATTTGATTGAGTTTTCTATTTTTTAACGGCTAGTAATGTATTGCATAATTGTTTAAGTATTGGTTTTTTTAACTTAAAGCGCCGCAAATTTACGAAGCACAACAAATTCTTCTAACTTCTAACTTCTTTTAAAACGCCTTTTCAGGTAATTTGGGTAATTGGTTTAATAATGATCCCTCGTGATACAAAACAGTGTACCATATATTATTTTAAAGTATTTAAATTTAAGTAATTGAATATATGTCGAATGGCTCTTAAGGCACTTCTTAGTGTGTTTTTTTCTGTTTCTGTTAATTTATAATATTTAAACAATAAATGACAAAAACAAGAATGCGTGCAACCCTAGTAGGGAAAACTGTCATGTCTTAGTCCCAAAAACGCCGAATAGAATGAATTCTATGTGTCATAGAATGTTGATTAAAGAGTCGGATGTAAACTGAAGTTGTAGTGCCACTGGGTTATTATGATTATTGTTAATGACAGATAGTTTCAGAATTAGAATGTATATTAACTGCTATCAAGACATTTATTTTTAATAATTCTGGGCTATTTATTACTTCAATGGTTTGGTGGCTAAAGGAGTTAGGTTCTTATTATTTCTTAGCCGGCAGAAGCACGAACTTGCTTCAAATATAGTTGTTGATAAAGATACTGAAGTTCTAAATAAAGTTGCCTAAATACGCAATGACATCATATATTATGAACTATCAGTATACAAATCCATGAAATCGATCCAACTACGTTGTACGTCACCTATTATGAAGTTGCAAGTGCTAATGTTGCGTACATTGTTATTTTAGGTGTTTTGATCAAACAATAGCAAAACTCACACATTAGCTTAGTATCTCAGAGGTAATATTGTGATACATTTCTTAGAAAATAACTGAAAAAAGATGTACCCCTATTATAAAACATATATTCCATTTATAAATCATCTCTTAATTCAATTCAATTTTAATTCCGATTGTAGCTTAATTTAGGTATATTTCGGCCTTTGTTTGTTCTCACATGATAATATTTGTAATCGATACTTTATTTATTTTATGGTCAGCTATTAATAACATAATTAAAAACATTCCTGATAAAAACGTGAAAACTAGTTATTTACACCTTAAAAGCTAACGCAGGCCACAGCACGCAACAGCCAACAATAGAGTTAAATATAAAACAAAAAGCAGCTTAGTTACAGAAAAACAAAAAGATTTAAAAGTTTCTATTGCGAGACTTGTAATCTAAGAAGAAAAAGACGAAACTGCGACAAGGAAACAGGACAAGATATATATTACATATATCGCTTTAATATAGCTATAGCTTTAAAATAGTTTATGTAAGTTTTAGTCAATTATTGTAAATCAGAGTCGGGTTTCAGAGCAGCGTTTTGAACACCATGAATTTTTATACAAAAGATATTAAGAATCCATGTTTTCTTTGGTCCAATCCAGTTTATTTATAAGTTTATAATAAATGATTTATATAAAAGTATTTGCACGCAAGGCACCCGACATAACCTAAATATACATCTGCTTTTTGCAAATTCATACATGATAAAACTAAAGGATTTTGTGAAGAAATAAATGATTAGGTAATAAATAACTAACTCCATACAATTATAAGTATAACTATTTATTAATATATTCAGTAGATAAAAACAAAATCAGTTATATTTTATTTTCTGCGCAGGTAGTATTCTGTAGGATATCCACCATATGAAAGAGGGTAGAATGATGAAGAATACGGCGAGATAGCAGATGGAACATTTCCAGGATAAATGTAGTCCAAGCCTGCTGTATACGTCAGATATTGAGGAGATGGAGCAGCCAGGGCTCCTGCCAGCATAGCGACAATGATAAACTGTAAGAATAAAAAACCAATATTATACCTGTTGTTCGATGAACACAACATTATACTGTTGCTTAGTGAATAAGATATTATAACTGTTGCTCGGTGAATTAGGCGGGTTGGGTATTAATTAGCTGTTTTCTTATACCAATATCTTGTACAAAGGATATAAATAGAAATGTGAATATACTCATAATAATTCAAGAATGTAAAAATTTAATTTTTGCAATTGTACCACAATGAAAATGCTACACAAGGATTAAAAATTCATTAGAAATACAAGTTAAAAAGCAATTGTGCTACAACCTTTTCGGTCTGGACCTCAGAATTCTGGAATCGTTTCGTGATTATTTGTTTTTTCTTGTCTTCAAAGACGTTTTTCTAACATGGCATAATGTTTAACCCTGTGTAGTATTGAAGTAATAATATTCTATTATAGTTTAATTTTAAAAATAGTTCTCGAAATAAAAGTCTAGTCTATGCATTGTTCTATACCGGCCAGTAATTATAATGCATCGCATTTTTATTATATTAAATATAGTGATGTCAGTAGAATCGATCTAAAAAAACTTTAATTAAAACCTCCTTTCATCCTATATTTATACTTTCAATAACTCTATACCTATAGGAGCACGAGCTCGCAAAAAGATGCACGTGTAAGTCTAATGAAAAGACATCAACGCTACATTGTTAACAGTGAAAGTAAAAATTCTATGAAAATAGGTTTTGTCTGAAATAATTGTGACCTAGTTCTTTATAGTCTGTTATTCTGACTTGTGAATTTATTTTCAATTATTATCTATTATTTGTTTTTAAGCTATTGCATAGATTTTATCGCAGGCTTTGAGCGCGGCGACCGAATCAAGAAATACCGTAACGAAAAAACCTAACACACGATGACGCATACTGCGTATTCACATCTCTCGTAGCGTAAGCGCGGCCGGTGCAGCCGGTACGCGTTAGAGTGAGACAAAGTATATAGGCGTGTTAGTCTGAGTCTGGTATAGTGGTAGATTGAATTAATATCAAAGAAAAAAAATACTGCATAAATAAAAAATAAATAAATAATTATAGTTAATTGATAAAAAATGCTATGCAATAGCTTTACCGCGGCAGTCCCCGAGTGCCACACGTTTTTTTTTTATCATACTTTCTATACACATATTTTATAGTACATAACATGCCGTGCCTTAATCATTTTTAGGGTTGCCATATGTAAAAATAATAGATATATATAAAAAGCTTGGTGCGCTGTAAATAATATAGATTTGGTAATATTTATATTTTATTTCAAAAATAAAAATGTTTTCATTTGTATCAATGTCGATAACATTGTACACGCTGCGTCAATCTACAGCCAACACACAATTCTGCTCAAAATTAAAAATATAAAACCTCAATAATAAATTTGACTTACCAGTTTATAGAACATAGTTGAAGTATATGTGTCAATGTACTAACGAATCTATCTTACTCTTAGGATTATATACATAAAAGTTACCCTTGAACTTCAAAATACAATGAGCCCCAATATGGTAACTAATAAAATCATAATGACAAATTACCGTCACCATTAGATGTACTTTTAACCGACAACGCATTGAGCAGCAAAATTGAAAAAAACCTGCCAACGCGAGCCTAATGACTCATGGTTTAACTATTAGTTCTAATCTGTCAAGAAAATATGACATTTAAAAAAACAATATGTATTGGAAAAACGAATGTTTAAAAATTTATTTTACGGACTGAGAAGAGCAATGGGTTGTAAAATTTTTATCTGTAAATATTTCAGGCTTAAGCTAGTCTTTTAATATTATTACTGTTCAAGGTCATTCGCTTCTAACTAACTTCATTCTTGTTCTATCAGAAACGCGTTGAAAGATCTAATGGTAAAATTCAAATTTTGCGCGAACTCTTGACTACCCATTTCAATGTCCAATAGGTTTTTGACATTGCATACTTAGCATTCGACTCGACTCTGAATCTCACCCTAAGCCGCCTAAGATGGCCGTGGCATTTTTTGTAATCTACGTGGAGCGTAACGTATTTAACTTACAAAATCAATAGAAGATGACCTACCAAGCACGCAATTTCCCTCTAAGAATATCGAGATAGGCCAGCAGATAAGTATTACGTAGTACAACGCTTAGGCATTTGATTTATACGGTAACTTCAAAACGGACATAACTTCGATTTGCTAATATTTTGATAGAATGAGGCTCGATCACAATTTTCCTTATGACGCCTTTAATACCAATAAGGCACTGCATTTTTTGTGAATTGGACGTGTCTCGTGTTTCTATTGCCTTAAACAACATGACTAGTATGTTAATGCATGTCCATACACTGTCATGAATAGAACCTAATCCGGTTCGGCAAATGTATTTGTCATGGTATTATGATTTTTTGCTTATGTTCCGTGTTCGCGTGAAACAATGCTATAATATAATAATAATTTTGAGACAGCGAAGTTCACATGAGATATATGAACCGATTTAGATTTTTTTTTAATTCTTAATTGTTTTAATTATTTTAATTATTACTTTGTAATAAAACAAATTATACGTACCTATGTAGCATAATTATGGGTAACTTCGTTTTTCTACAATATTAAATTTTTGTACTAAATTTATTTGGTGTTCTTTAAATTGGCACTATGATCGTGTGTTTAAAACAATAAATTAAACAAATAATTATCATTTCAAATAAGTATTTTATTGGGGTGAATAAATTAACAAAAAATCCCTACAAAAATCTCATAAAATTTTCTTTTATCTATCTTCAGTCCAGGTTTCATAATGTCGATCGAGTCTATCCTTTATGGACAAATATACAAGAATCTCTTTAAATTTTTATATTGTGTACCAAAGGCTCGAAACAGCTACGCTCCGAAGCTAAATATTCTAAAAAAATATTGTTGTTATATAATATAGATAAATTATAGAGATTAGAATTAATAACCCTCTGAAATCTTCAACGCATATCGGACTGTTATCTACACCTAAGCAGCGGCCCGTGTAATTTATAATTATCATATTTAACCTAAAAACTGTAGCCTATATAATGAAGGGCACAATCTAAAGAGATTAAACATTTGAAAAATCTTTAATAATTAACACAATTATTGTGTTTATTATTAAAGCCTGACGGAAACTCTTTTTTTACCCATTATTTGAAGTTTATTTCTCTTAATTTTATAAATCAAGGAGTGTGTTAAGTGCGACGGTACGACTAACGACCGATAGAAATACCCAATTTAAAATATAAGAGAAAAGACGACGGCATATTCAGTTTGGTTTTGGGTAGCAACGCTACTGCTACATTTAATAAGCTTAAAACTGTAAATTGATACTAAATTTTCTCCGATTTACGCGAAATTTATGCATTTAAACTGTTTGCTTTATAGCACGTTAAACGTCGATAGAAATAAAGAATTTATTTTGATTTTAAATTCAAAATAAATTCTTTATTTTTCACAAATAATTCGGAAAAAATTTAAACTTTTATTTAACGGGTTTTAATCTAGAATATACTTTCTTTTTTTTCTATAATCTGTGGATTTTTTCCTGCCGTTACAATTTACCTATTGGTATAATCAGTAAAACAAAAGCGTATTTTTAGGCCAAGAATTGCCAACAGTACGAGTACCAGGTCAGTAAATTCGTTAACAATAGGTCATGCTAGGAATATTGATTGGAGTTCACAGATTATTAACTGATGATTATCATTGCAAGGATTTCGCAATTTGTGTAGAAGAATACTTTAAACGTTAATCAAACTGATTAAAGGTATTTATAAGTTAAGTTACTTTATAAATAGAAACAAAGTTGAAGCTACTTCTTTAATTATAATAGTTAATCACTGTTTTTGAAACAAATTCTCTGTCTGCGTACTGGATTAGAAAGTTAACCAGTAAATAGAAAAGAATCTCCTTATATTTGGTCGACATAATTCGTTGAAAAAATCATTGTTAATTTAAAAAAAAATCTTTTATTTATGAATTTTTTAGTAAATTTTTTTTTAAAGCAAGTAGAGGTTAAGCCTCCTGGCATACATGATAATTAGAAAATTTTGTGCCTAAGATATTCCTCGGAATGTTGATGACGTTCCTTTACCGTATGATCAAGTTTATTAAACATATTATTGCTTAACCGGAGTTTGAACGGACGATATATTTGAGAAGTGCTTTACCACTACGCTAACATTACTTACTTCTTCTCATCTTATTATCGTAATAAACAAGACTAATAAATGGTTAATCATCACCATTATCTGGTAATTAATACTTTAATCAGTGTTAAACTAATGCAAATCGTAAGCTTTTAATGAGATTTATTAAGCTTTGCTGGTTCACAATAAGCTTTGTTATATAATACAATTTAATACCTCATCAATAGTAATGCTCCTATGACGTAATACCCGACGCAGGGTTATTTATTGCATAATTTTGTATGCACAAACCATTTCATTTATCAATGTTTTTAAGTAGAAGTTGCTTTTGTGTTAAAAAATACAAGTTGTAGTAATATTAATTAATACTAAACATAATATCTTGATTGTGTTTATTGAAAAATTAAACTGGCGAGATGATCTGTATTATTCATAACTATTGTATTATTTTTTGTTGACCTATATTTTTCACCTATGGTAGAAAACATCGTGAATCGTCTGAAATCCAAAGAACAACGACTTGCGTCAAACACAGAAGGCTGATAACCATCTTGTTGGAGCTTCACTGGATTATTTATGTTTATTAGAACCAGCCCTGCGATTCTGTAACTCACTTTTCGAACTCACACAGCGGTTTTTGCATCGGCGGTCGCTCTCAAATCAGTCGTGAAGCAGTCATTTTATGATTTGGCATTCTGATAAACAATAAACTACAAGCTCCCACCTTTTCATTGTAGGTTTAATAGGTAAAATCATACCATACCAACTATTCGCTGTTATGCTGATGATTGTTTTTCCTGCTTTAATAAAAAATTATGGTAATTTTAATGTATGCTTTCTTTATCTTGTATATATTTTAATTGCATTTTTTTAATATATTTTGTTTGTATAACTTATGTTTACTTCAATTATCATACATTTTAGATGGATGATTTTGTAAAATATGCCGTAGCTGTGGTACTATATGTGATGTGGTCAACTTTAATAAATAAATAAAATAAATGATTTAAAAGTCTTGGTCATATTAATAATTCTTTATTATATTTATTTGCAACGCTATGAGAACGATACGGACAATGGTGTCTAATTACCTATTATATTAAGTGTATTTTATTCAAAATGGATTTTGATACGAATATTTATCAAAAAGATACCACTTACATACTTTGTAATTCCCCCAATTTATAGATTTACTTAAGATACCGGAACGGAACTTCTTTAGTTGTATCGCATATTATCTAATTCGATTTTCGTTTTTGTCATAATTTTGCTTCTGTAGCCATAAAAGCCATCAATTTTCTTACATAAATAATGCTTTAACGTTAACGTCCTCTCAACACAGAATATACAAAAACTTGACGGCATATAGCCAAGCAAAAGAATAGTACAAATTCTTTACATACATAACATGCAACAAATACTATTACACTTTAAACTGTCATCGAAATACTATCTAATGAACTTGACGTACTCGGTACGCTGCGTTACGTAATTGATTGGGCAGATGATTAATCTAATTAAGAACCTGTCCCAAACATTGACATAACATATTATGGTCTATATTAGACTATTACATATAAAATACGTTTTAGAGGCTTCGAAATAGAATATTATGACACTAAAACAATTGCCTTTTTTCATGGCTACAATGGCATGGTTTTTGCTTTAAATTAATTATAATAATTTAAAAGACAACCTAACAGGGCTTGTTTAATTAGACTGAACTTTAATTTAGAAATGTTCATCATTTTTGTATTTCAATCAACTTTTTTACTAAAACTATCTCTAATATTTAAAATAACAATAAATGTATTTGTTATTATTGAGTTTATTTAAGTAAAATTTATATGTTTATGTTGAATTAAAAAGATTAATAATAGATAAGTTTAATTTATTTAAAAAAAATATTGTAAGCAATTTATTAATTGTTAATAAAACCACCATAAAGTTTTTGTTTTGTTTACTAACCGACATAGTGACTAAGACCGAATTGTTACTAAACCATTTAACTAAATATCCATATTATAACAGTAATATTATGTTCGTTTCTGAATAAAACTCCTTGCAATTTTTTGATAATGTCTATATATAATCTATATAAAATATGATAATTAGAGTATTATCACGTTAATTTCTTCACATATATTGGATATAAAGGTATATACCTATTTTGTACGTCTTCTTTCTTAGCAGACAAGAATATGGTTAGACAATGCTTGGTCCTTTTAAAAAAAGTTAAACATCTTAATCTGCAATTAACATCGGCATATTGTTTAAAAATTAAGGTAAACCTTAAAAATACAAAATGTATGAAGTCTCGAACCCTCCAAATGCGGAAAAACAAGGTAATTCTCTTCTGTACGTTTATCCAAATAAATATGCTGACACTGTTATAAAGACAAACTGTTCATATTTATAATATTACAAACACAATAATACTACCTAACATCAAATTCTATTTTCTATGGTGACTCCGATTTAGAACCTGACTTGTTATGAATTCCTTGTATGACGTACTTTAAAATGGCCGGGATTTCATTGTTTACTGAATCATGTAACATGTACGCATCTGAAAATATGGTTATAGTTCAAGCTTGAACACATAATTACAAGCTTCAGGGAATTAGTTAAATTTAAGAAATACAACAATAGTATTAAATTTTTTGTTCAATTAAGGTTAAATAAAAAACTTTCAAAGTCAACTCGATTCTTTACGTCACAGGAAAAACACGTTTAGCACAATTAGGCTGTTTTCGGAGTTTGCCAACGATTCGTACGTATTTTTTTCCAAAAATAACATTTTGATTTTATATTTATAGTTAGTTTTTTTATATGTTTAGTTTTTAACACGCAACGCTCCTCGAAGTAAAATATCATTTAATCAAAACAAAGAACAAAAGACTTTCACATCACAGAAAAATCCATAAAAGCGCGAGAAAATTTCTGTACAATAATGTTTGGTAAATTACATTTCTTTGTTAGGAACCGATTTAAGTCATAACGATCACGTGCAAAACAGACGGGAATAAAGGATCTTGGTGACTCAGGTGCTTAATAACACACGACACCTGTCAAAGATCAAAAGGGCAAATTAGTTGCACTTTGATGTAAACATACTAAATAACATGTGATTTTCAACATTTAGAATTCTCGTGTATTCACTTTCTAAAAGTATTAGACGTATACTAATAGTAATATTGTCAAAACTAGTTATTATCAGACTTCGTGCGCGTGGAAGCAAAGCTTAGTTTAAAAGATTCAAACATACTGGGAGTATTTGTTTTACACTATGTGCACATAGATACCTTCCTTTTTAATTGTTGTCTCATGATCTACGCATTGAAATCTGTTACGTAGTTTAAAAGATCTAAGTGCAGACAGTAGGAGTTGTATACTATGTAAGAATGAATTATTAGTTTAAGCGTGAGTGAAACTAACTCATTTAAAATAATGATTGTTTAACAATAATTATCGATTGGCCGACACATTTCTGCGTCTATTTTATTAATAATCTTTCTTCATTCTGGAATGGGCAATATATATATGTTATCTGCCTCTACGTCACGGACGTGGTAATTTTATAATAATTCTGGTACGCTCGCATGCAAACGAAATCTTTCTTTCTTACAATCTTTTTTATATATATTAAATAGTATATCAATCGAAAAATACCATTATTAACTGATACTATTTTCTATTGTTGTAGAATAATCCTTAATTCTACAATCATGCTCTCTGATGAAGGTCAAAAAACCAGAAACCAAATAGGTCGCTAGTTCAATGAAGAATAAGAAGAATTATGAAAAGTCTATTCAATTTTATTACATAGACACTTTACCGTGGCATATTCAGAGAATTTAATGAAGCTTCTTAACCTTTAAATGTTTTATGAGTAAACTTAAAAAGCTATTAAGAAATCTGTGATACGTTAAAGGAAATGCATATGTACGTGGGATAGATTTAAAAGCATATACATATATGGTGACTGCGATTTTCCTAACCTTTTTTTTGAACATTATTTCGAATAAATAATTCTTATCAACGCATCTGTTAAATTTTAAGTTAAGTTTTAAAATATATAACCAAGAAGAAGCTCTACAATATCATGTTTATTAATTTCTTAAATGAAATATTCTTACTCGGCCCTGATCCTAAGAACTGCGGTAAGTTTATGAAGCAAATAGATACATGATGTTGAAATGCATAATTGGTGCGAGATTTACAATACGCATGCGCCAATTTGTCTATATAAGCAAAAATCCCGGTTTCCAGACATCAGTTTACGACTTACAATCGTGAACAGCCCCTACGCTCAACATTTAAATTGTTATCGACGATAACTGTGAAAGTTTTTAAAAGTACAAGTCACATTTTCAATTCTATAATATCAATTATAACTTTGTCAAAATTCATCCGTTCTGTTTTTGTCTCACAAGTGCCACTTTTGACGGACTTATGAAAAATAAATTGGAAGGTGAATTTAAATCTAGTGAGAGGTTTACCGGAGATCTGTCGGTAAACGTAGTAAGGCAACAAGCACCGAAATCTCGACGCGAATCCATGGCCCCTAAGATTGTGGTGTGTCCTCCAGTTGAAGAAATGACTGAACCCGCGGCAGCACCTCGAGGATCCCGCCTGCTCAAAGCGTTGAGTCGGCGGCTCTCTCGCCGCAAATCCGATGACGACTCTTTAGGAAGCTCCAGCAGCAACGAAAGTATGTCATGTGATACCGGCCGAAGTGATGACCCTTCATCCTGCTCAACCAGCGACTCTGGCGACGAATCTGACCGACGAAGACGTCACAGATCAACGGTGTCGTTGAGGCGAGTTTTTCAAAACTTCAGTATATCAAGTCGGTCACAATCATCTTCACCAAGTGACCGCCACCGCCAGCCCAAGAAGCAAACCCAGCCAAAACGAATTCTTCGGCCCCCAGTCACCTACACATACGTACGAGGGCTATCCGGCTTGCCAACACAGCGGGTGCCTCGTCATACAGTTTATTGCGCTTCCGTGGGTCTCAACCGATAAAGATGTAATGCATCGATATGTGGATACCTAACAACAGGAATGGGAAATCAAGACTGTTACGTATAGATTTAGTCGTGAAAGGCTAGTACGTCTTATCATATCAGTAGATAGAATGGACTGATGAGCTCGACGAATGGAAATTTCAACATGGACCAAAAGCGGACACCATTATGTACTCCTTTGAGGGGAGGCTGTTGAAAATTGTCTATTTAAAAAAAATCTATAAGACTGGAAACTGCGAAAATCGCTGGGATAGCGATTTTCATTATCTTTACTCCTATTGGCTCTACTTTTTAATCTTAAAAAAGATGAATGTAATCAATAATTAATTTTTACGGCAGTTAAAAGATAACTATTAAGGGATTGCGGCCACACATGTTTGTTGTATTTCTAAGTGAAGAATAGTGCCTTTCCACATATTGACGATTTTGATATGTATACCTAACGAGGCTTAAGTATTACTCAGTCAAACCTTGCATTATATATTTATAAAGGAAATTTTCACAGATACACCACATGTTTTCATAGGATAACGTTTTTTCACAGTATTCACCAAAGAGTTAACTAAACTTGTTTTGAAACTTCGCAGATTTTTTTCAAAATTGTTAGTAGTATTTTAAAAAGTTTGCTCATTAATGTAAGAGTCTTAAATCAGTAGGAGTATTGTCTTTTTCGAATATTGAGATTGTATTTCTAGGCACTAATAAAATAGTGAGTATTAGATAGACTAAATATTAAAAATGTTAAGCCATTTTTATGTAATTATAGGTTTGATATTAAATAAAACAATTTAAAAATTACATTGTCTTAAATATGTTCCCTACTCCTTCTTTATCACCTTATAAATAAAACTCATACCATTTTCTAAAGAGAACGATATATTTTGTATATACAACTATCGATTCATAATGGTATTCTTATTATTTCTATTATAATTAAGACATTTCACGGTAGTCAAAGCTTCATTAATTAAACAAGTTATTAAGGTACTTGTAAAAAGATTGACTCATTGTATTGCAAATTAATTTTCCACCCACCACTACAAAATTTTCAATTTAATATTTTAGACCTATATTTTTATTTAAACAAATATTTATTAAACTATTGAAGCTGAATATTGAATATCATAAGCATGTTTTAAACACGTATTTGATATAGTTTTTTTCCTAACGTAATATTAAGGCGATTCTGTTCCGTTACTAAATTCAAAAGGATTGACGTCGAATCACTTCACTTCTCTGAGATTAGGTGGAGATGCATTATCCATTGGAGTGAGTTGGAGAAGTTGAAGTGAGTTCGTAAGTTTAGGTGGAGATGCATTATCCATTGGAGTGAGTTGGAGAAGTTGAAGTGAGTTCGTAAGTGAACTCAATAATTTACATTTATAGAACGAGGGCGGAGATATTTGGAAATAAACGGTACATTACTTCTACAAGTTATTCGATAGTTAACGTATAAAATTTGTATTATTACTTCTAAGACTATAAAATCGTTGAAAAATTATATTTACCCACATTTTAACTCTTAACTGTTAGAACATCTCCAAATTCACTGGCAATGTAAGTCTATGGGCGGTATCACTTGACATTAGGTGAGCCTGTGAGTTGAAAAAACGTTGCAGACAGATTTTTAATACAATAAACTGCCACAACATAGTATTTAAGCTTATCCTGAATTCACTGATAAACGAGGTTAATAAAAAATTACCATTTTTGTTCCTAGATATCCATTATATGCCTACAGTCCTTGCTATCTCATATACATTCATTACATTTTCATCTATATTGTCGTGCTACCTATACGGTTTATACCTATACACACAAGGCTGGACATCTACTTGCCTATTAGAATAAAACGAATGATCGCGAAACAAATACAGAAATCTGAGGTCTAGACCTAAAAATTGCGCCATTGCTTTATTTTCTATATGCTTTATTTATTAGCAAGTAAACATATAATATAATATAATATATAACATTAATACAAAATATAATTCCCAAAGATAGCTATTTTGAATTTAAATAGACACTTTTTTACCCTGAATTTCGCCTCTTTCTTAGAATTTGATTTTAAACCTTCTAAATTAAAATAAACGATACTTCCAAATTGAATAACAAAATTGTTCCACTTCCAATAATAGACTTGGTTTTTTCAGATAGCAATAACATGTGTATTTTAAAGTATATCTTTTATTTATTGTACTTTATTATACTTTTATGTCAACTAGATTTCTCCCTATTCACTGATGATATTTTTTTCTTTTTTCAAGTAACAGCAGCCTATCTACTTATCCGAAAAAAAAAAATTAACGAAAGAATTCCAAATTTAAAATGCAAGCATTTTAGCCATTACGTTTCTTTTTTACTAGTAAATAAAGTTATAAAATTACATAACTGTAGGGGCTTGCTTTAGAACTCATACGTAATAAAAGACCTCGAGCCCCCGAAGGTTGTTGGGTACGGGCAACACTCACACAATATAATAGAAGTTGCAACACAGCCACACTACGGATTCTCCTCAACGAAGCACCTTCCATTGAACACTCTGCAAATGTGACCTGCAAACAAGTTTTTCTCTCCCCGTAAGGACGTAGCATATCTCCAGAGCAGTACTAATAGGATGGTTGTACAGTACTCTACGTCACTTGAACATAATTTTGGGTTAGTAGGTCATGAGAGGGGCCTGCAGTTGTAGTGAGGAAGGGGGTGTGATTTTTAAGCCCAGTGACGTCATAACGGAGCCTTGGACCCCTCCCTCTCAGAATGATGAATGAAAAGGTCGATAAAGATAAACTAATTTAACTGCAGTCCTATGACAGGTAAACTAGTAGTTTTCTAGTTTAGTTTTTTTTCTATGTATATATCTGTCTGTTAGGCTTTTGGAAGTTGTTTTTTATATATATTTTTTATATAATTATATTAGACTAACTTTATTTAAAATCAGTAATAGAATACGTGAATAGTCTAAACAAAACGTATTATGAAGTTTTGGATAGGAAATATGATAAGTGACAACCTATCGACAGGTGTCAAGCATGCTTTTACCGTCTAAATCAGAACATTAGATGCTTATGCTATACAAACGGTATACGTCAGGTATGCGAGAGTTAATTTGCTAGTAGCCCCTGAAAGACCTGCGTAATTGAAATATTTCTCCGCCTCCGACCAATTAATATATTAATTATAAGATTCACGTGACTACCCTTTTCCAATTAAAACGATCTACGTCAAACAAAAAAAGTCTTGGAGGCTTACTCAAGTAGTTATATACACATTTTAAGACATTATGTCGTAGTTTTTTCATTAAATATAAATAATTTTTTTTACGTAATCTACTTCTGTCAACAAAAAATGTAATTGATAGCTTTCGCTCTACTTAAATTATGTAGTTTATTTGTTTTAATTGGTCGAATTTACATTTTGACTCATTCAACATATATTTATTTCGACCATGAATGGAGACAGTTATATGCTCCTTTTTTTAAAGTCCTTATATACGATATCGAATTCTTATGTACAAATATTGTTTTTAGATTATTGTAAGCATTATCATATTGTACGTAAAGGTACTGTTTATTCGGCGAAAAATGCCTTCTCGGAAATCATAACCTATTTTTGGTGTTTCCAAGAACTAGAATATATAATATATACCTTCAATTATATAGAATATATTATTGAAGGTATACATGCGTTTATTTATAAATATGCCAGATGATTAACTTTTTATTTAATATTTACTTAAACTAACTAGAGTAATTAATATTAATTACTTTTAAAAGTTGACTACAAAAGCAATACGCTATCTAAGACAAATAATAGAAAATATTATTGTGAATTTACATAGTAGACTGTGGACCATTTTAACCGTCTCTACGTTAAGAGTGTCCTGGGTTCGATTCTAAAATAGATAAATAAGTTAACAAACGACATTTCGCTGTATGCACTTTTTGTACATATATTTATTGTTGCGAAAACATCTCAAAAAATATAATTCTTGATTAAATATGAATTATTTCATATCCTTAACAAGATCAAAGGAAGTCAGTAATTGCTTTAAGATGTTTACGTAGACGTAACTGATGAATAACGTACAATTACGAGACGACAATGAGGCGTCGATGCCCAATGGACATTCTATTTTTAGAAATTTGCGTAAATATTTCACTGCATAGTATAATCTCCCTAAGCTGAGATAATTTGTATCGAATATTGATAGCCTTTTTTCTTTAGCTTTTGAGAAAGATAGTCCTTTTTTTATTTAAAACAGCAGTTGTAATAGTATATTTCATTACAAGTGCGGAAAGCCTGTCATTGCAAAGAGTTTTGACAAATGTCTACCCGAGCCGAGGCGCAGCCGAAGGTGAGGGTTGACAGTCGGAACAAGTTGCAATGACGGTTCCGCACGTGTACTGAACGACTATTTTTAATACAGTTGCGAAAAAATTATGCAATTTAATAAAATAATAAAAAAACAATAAACTCAACTCACTAATCATTTATTTCTTATACAAATTATTGTTCACATATACATTGGTACAGTTTTTTATACTAACTGGAGAAGTTTTAGGTTGCATATTTATTTACTGTTTGAGACAAACTATTATTTATTTCGCTTTCTCCGCAATTAGACTCGTGGTTGGTCCGTTGTGCGTGATTTTTCATGTATATTTAATATGTAATATAACAAACTACTAAACGCGCAAAGAACATTTTTGGAAAATGGCGCCAACCGTAAAAGAATATAAGCAGATAGTTTTTTTTCTTCACCCATTCTGGGTAGGCAAAGGGAACTATGCCCATACAGCCAAGTCTTCAGTACAATTTTTAATTGATATGAAATGAAATTTAAGGAGATGAAATTAAATCTAACCTAACTCATTGAATCAAATCATTAAATCTTATATTGAAACAAAGCAGTAGCTTCTTTTTAGAAATATTTGCATGAATCATAAAAATTTCTATGAATTTTTTTTAGTAAAAACTTCGTGGTTGGTTTTTTCT